CGGTGGGAGACAGCCAACTTGTTAAAAAAAAAAATGTACATACTGTCTACATGGTAATTGAACAGAAAAGAGCTACAATACTTTATACAGTATAGTGCAATACTTTATACAGTATAGTACAAATACTTTATACAGTACGTATAGTACAATACGTGTACTTTATACAGTATAGTACAAATGTGTAAGGCTGGGCAGCAGCTGAGTAAACTCCCACCCCTCTCACATTGTATATAACAGTGCTCATAACTTTCTCACTGCTTTGATTGTATAGTATGGGAGGATTGGGGCAACAGATGTGTAGGTGTAGGCAGCAGCTACTGGACTACCTCCCTCTTTCACATTCTCACTCCTTTTGACTCGCATTCTATCATGTCTAGTTAAAGACTCTACATGTTCACCATTTAATTACTGTTATGATGTGGATAGTAGGTGCCTTTGTTTATAATGTGGGAAGGTAATGGTAAGGATAATTGTTTGACGGGGAGATTGTGGTGTTGCAAGTAAATGGAACTCTCACTGTCCTATGCCTCTCCTGCTGAACATGAACAGTACTCAGGCAGAGTGGCGACAGCAACTGCAGCATAACAGAATAACGTAATTATTTAATCTACAGTTCTTCACCAGTCTCTACCAAAAAAAAAAAAAATGCATAAAATAAACATAAACAAATCATGAATGCACCATACCCCGGCTGGGATTGAACCCGCGGTCAGAGAGAGTCAAAACTCCAGCCCGTCGTGTTAGCCACTAGACCAGCTAGCCACAATAAGATTCATCCAACTAGGTATATTTCTACACCATAGGAAGGTTAGCACAGGCTCCACTGTGACCACAAATGCAAGTTTTTACGGACGAATCTCCAGCTAGCGTGGCCGTGACGAACTCTAGCTCAAGTCCCTTCACTGCCGTCAACATGACTCACGAAATCGTAATGACATGATTGCAAACAAACCATACCCCGGCCGGGATTGAACCCGCTGGAGATTCTTCCGTAAAAACTTGCATTTGTGGTCACAGTGGTGCCTGTGCTAACCTTCCTATGGTGTAGAAATATACCTAATTGGACGAATCTTATTGTGGCTAGCTGGTCTAGTGGCTAGCGCGACGGGCTGGAGTTTTGAGACTCTCTGACCGCGGGTTCAATCCCGGCCAGGGTATGGTTTGTTTGCAATCGTGTCATTACGATTTCGTGAGTCATGTTGATGACAGTGAAGGGACTTGAGCTAGAGTTCGTTACGGCCACGCTAGCTGGAGATTCGTCTGTAAAAACTTGCATTTGTGGTCACAGTGGTGCCTGTGCTAACCTTTCTATGGTGTAGAAATATACCTAGTTGGACGAATCTTACTGTGGCTAGCTGGTCTAGTGGCTAACGCGATGGGCTGGAGTTTTGAGACTCTCTGACCGCGGGTTCAATCCCGGCCGGGGTATGGTTTGTTTGCAATCGTGTCATTACGATTTCGTGAGTCAAATCATGAATGTGTTTGGTAAGAAACTAACCTGGAGCAAAATTGTAAATCAGTCTTAAAAAAATCATAAATATTAAATCTTGAGTTCTAGACCAATTTCTATCAAAAAATGTGAATTCTCTCTACATGCACAAAAGTAACATAAAGAAAGTATGAATTTAGTTGGTAAACAAACAAATGAAAAATATTTATTTAGAATAATTTGTTGGAATGTTTTCAATGATTTTATCTTGAGATGAGCATTCATAAGAACTATAATTAATTGATTCCGAAGTGACAGAGTCGTAAATGCAGAACGTTGTATGTTGGTACATTTTAAATGAGGGATCTGTACAGTAGAACTCGTGTATCTACAGGGATATGTTCCAAGGACCTGCCGTGGATACCGAAACCGTGAATAGTAATAAACCCTATATATAAGTCCTCTACATACCTGTTATAAGTTTAATTGATAAATTATGCACAAAAAGTGGAGAATTAACACTTTTTTACTGATGAGAAGCACTTTACAGCATCTCTTAGGTTTTGAAAAACTGCCAACTTCTCTACCTTTGTGCTTTAGGGCCATTATTCTGCAAAATTAAGAGGTATTTTTTGGGCCACAGTAAACCACAGGTAACTGAAACTGCAGATACTGAATCAGTGGATACAGAGGTTCTACTGTACATCAAACATCTCTCTCTCACATTGTTCACGGCTATTAACCCTTTCAGGGTCCGTCCCGTAGATCTACGGCTTTACGTTCAGGGTCCAAACCGTAGATCTACGCCATGTGCTCAGCTCACTCTGATAAACTGTGAGTGGTACATTTGGGCCTAGATATGAGATGAGAGAATACATCTATGTGGTATGTGTGCACCACATAAAACAGATCCTGCAGCACACTGTGTATAATGAGAGAAAAAAAATGAAATCATGATTTTTCGATTAAAACAGCAACTTTGCAGTGTTTTTTCGTATGTTTTTTATAGTTGTATTTGCGATTTCTTGGTCTCATTTGATAGAATGGAAGACATATTACAGAAATAGAGATGATTTTGATTGGTTTTAGCATTGGAAATGGCTTGAAACTGAGCTCAAAGTAGCGGAAATGTTAAATTTTTGCCGATATTCAAGAGTAAACAAACGACCTCACACGTCTAATACACGTCAGCTGGTGGTCTAATATACATTCACAAATATGGTGATGATATTTATACAATTATTACAGTATTGCATAACAAGTAAATCTTCTATTTTTTTGGTGTGAATAAAAATTCATTATGTGAATAAAAAATCAAAATGGAATTTATTTGTAAAGCCTCAAAACATAACTAATGAACAGAGGAAATGTTAGTTTAGTGCCAGGAATGCCTACATTGTTCATTCTGGACCCTATTTTGAAATTGGAATATTTTGAACTTTGTGTTAAATTGGCCAAATTAACAATTTCCGATCACTTTATTTTGTAGTTGAAACAGTTGACTTGGCGATTTCTTGTGCTCAATCGATAGAATAGAAGTAATACTAGTGAAATAGCTAAGAATTTGGTTGATTGGAATAATGTAATTGGCCTAAAATGGGAGTCAAAGTCGGCAAAATCGCCAATTCGTAAATATCACTGACACATCAAAATTCGCGAGAGCATAATTTCGTCAATTTTCCACCAAATTTCGTACTTTTTGTTTTATTACCTTCACAAAAAGATTCTCTACGATTTCATAAGAAAAAATAACAAATTTTTTTTTTGAAAATTCTTGGACACTGGTGCGTGACTCCAGATTTGGGCCTTGGACCCTGAAAGGGTTAAAATAAAATAAAATACTATTTATTTCTTTACAAAGGTTACAGTGTGTGTTTACTTATCATAATATGATTGGAGCAAAGAAAGCCACTATCATGCCAAGGCATTTCGGGCAGACTTAACCTCATAGACTACTTAAGTCTAGACAGGTGAAGAGTAGTAGAATACAAATAGTCAATATTTCACTCTATTATTAATATGAGGTAGTACAATTTATGATACAGTCTTACAATTTTAAGTTCGTAATTAAGTTCTTTTACAGTGGTAGAATACAGATATTCTATATTTTAATCTATTATTAATGTGTGAGGTAGTCCAGTTTATAATACAATCAATTTATGATAAAATCATTCATACATTTTTTAGTTCATAAGTTCATTTACTCTTATTAATATGAGGTAGTACAATTAGTGATACAAACATACATTTATAAGTTTGTAATAATTGCTTAATAGTTAAGGGATAATAAAGTGTTCGGGGGAGTTACTTGGAATTTGGTTGGGGTTTAGCATGGTGTGGGTATGTTTGTTATTGAGAGATGAGATGATTTTTGAGTATGGTCCTCAACTGATTGTGGGCTGGGGACCTCCTGCTGTTTCAGGCAGAGAGTTCCAGATCTTAGGGTCCTTTATGTGCATTGCATTTTTGCAAAGTGTGATACGGACACGAGGGATGTCAAAAGTGTTTTGTGCCTTATGGTATGCCTGTGTGTTCTGTTGAAGCTGTCTAGGAGAAGTTTGAGCAGAGGGTTGATATTGGAGTTTAATGTTCTGTATATGTAGTAGGCACAATAATAAGTGTGCATATTAAGTAAGTTCATGTTTTTGAAGAGAGGTGGGGTGTGTTGTCTGGCGCTGGAGTTTGTGATCATCTGCACTGCCGCTTTTTGTTAGGTTATTAAGGTGATTGGCCATGGTGGATCCCCAAGCACAAATCAAATTATATTTTGTATTCATGGCTGTCTTTAGTTTATGAGACCAGGGCGACGGGGTTGTCACATCTTTTCATCACGTGCATATTTGAAAGAACATGAATCCACAAATTCAGTAATTATTAAAGTGTGATTCCTACAGATTTGTTGAGTTTTATTGAATGGTCTTTACCAAATAATTTTTAAAAATTGCAGGAAATAGTGTGAAGGAAAAATCTAATTATATTTCGTATTTCATGCAGTGTATAAATGATAATAGTATTTTACAGGTTCATTTCAGATAAATTTTTTTGGGTAATATAAATGATGTAGTAAAAAAAAAGGAAATATTTGGATGTATTGGTCTTAAGGCAGCTAAATTTTTTGCATCACAGCCCTCAGATGATTAGTTTGCTGAACCAGCAAGGTTTTGGTTGTCCCTGATCACAAACACATTGAATCTCTCTCTACCCATGATTGTTGTCATAATCTTATTCATCTATATTTGCATTATGGTATTCTAGCAATTGTTATGACTCCAAAGTGTAACAAATGGCAAAGATGAGTCTGTGCTTAAGGGAGGAGGTCAATTGAAATTAAGAAAGTAAAGTTATTAGATACATATATTTAATGGAATTATTAGATATACTGTAGTGGCGTTATTAGTATTGCTCCATTTTGGATGCAACAGAAAGTTGTATCCAGTATATTGATAGAAAATGTAATATTGTGTGTGCTTATTGTGTACTTTCATAATATAAATTAATGATTGGTAACATATTATTGTAATTTTTACCAGATACTGTTTTCAAGAGTTTTAACTGGGTGTCATCATTGCAGGTCGAATGCGTATGGACCAAGTGGAAGAGGAGAAAAATCAGAATGAATCTACAAATTGGCCTCAGCCTAGACCTAATGAGCATCAGCAATTCCCATCATATTATGAAGGTTACGGTGGTCATGAATCACATACCTTTTCTGAAGAATGGAGTCACAATGATGTTTATTATGACCAAGGACGAGGAAGGAGTCGAGGAAGATGGAGATTCCCCAGAGGTTCATGGAGAGGTCATGGGTTTAGAGACAGAGGAAGAGGGTTCAGAGATAGAGGCCGGGGTTTCAGAGGCTCTTGGCAACACAACAAATTTGGACATGAAAGAGAAGTAAAACCAACAACTTGGTACAAAAGAGGAGAGGGTGATGACAACCTTTCAGGCTCTAGGTCACGCTCAAGATCCAGGTCTAGGTCTAGATCCAGATCCAGATCCAGATCCAGGTCTAGGTCTAGAAGGTCCAGCTCTCGTTCACGTTCAAGATCTAGAAGGTCACGTTCAAAATCCCGATCTCGGTCAAGGTCTAAAAGGTCACGCTCTAGATCCAGATCTAGGTCACGGTCTAAAAGGTCACGCTCAAAATCTAAAAGCAGATCAAGATCCAAATCAAAACCCAAAAGATCACATTCAAGATCCAAGTCACGGAATAGGTCAAGAGGTAGAACACGTTCCAGGTCTGGCTCAAGAAGTAGTAGTAGGAGTAAGAGCAAGAGACATAAGCATTCCAGTCATGAAAGGTCAAGTCATTCCCCTGATAGACAGAGAGATAAATACAAAATTGAGAGGCACAGACAGAGCAGTAACAGAAAGACAGACAGTGATAAAAAGGATGATATTAACTATGATGATCTCAGGGAGAGTGACTTGGAACTCTCCAGTGATCCAGAGGACCATTACTATGAAGGTGAATATGTTGCAGATGAAGAATATGAAGAAAATTACTACCAAAACTTTCATCCTCGGGGTCATGAACGTGGAAGCTACTCTGGCTTCAGAAGAAGTTTTCGTGGACGTTGGCCTCGTATCTGGCGAGGCAGAAATCGCGGTGGTGGATATTCTGGCTACTATGGGCGTTTTGACGAGGGTGAGGATTGGCAACGAGGTCACATGGGCACAAGAGATCCTTTTCAAGATATATATGTAAAGTACTTTGAAAGTGTTACTGACCGTGAAGCTGCAAATAAGGAAAGCATTGTTGAAGAAAAGAGAGTGCGAGAAGAATACAGAGATAGAAAGGAATTTGAGGCACCTAGAGAGAGAGAAGCAGACCACAGAGGTGCATCTAAAGATAAGTGTAGCAGTCATGCACAAGAAGACCTTCGTGGTAATATGGACACAAGGAGTTGTATTGAATATAAAGATCAGAGAAATATTGAAAGAGTGAGAGGGAAAAGTGATTGGACAGGAGACTTTGGTCACAGACCAAGAGAAAACGACAGAAAATCTCACCCTTACATTGAGAATCATAAAGGAGAGAAAGTACTAGATAGGGCAGGTTGTGTTCCTGAAAGAAGAGCAGTAATTGAGAAATATGATCAGAAACATTTAAGAGTTGAAGAGGTTAATGTTAGAAAGCATGACCACATCACTGACTTTAATCAGAGACAAAGAGAAAAGTCAAGACTTGGCCGAGAGGACAGCGAAGGTGCCAGAAAGGACCTCGTTTTCCATGAGAGAGAAAAACACTCTGAAATGGGAGATGGAGGCAGAAGAGGCCTGAGCTACGATAACAATTTGCGACCCCATAGTAGTGTTGTGAGGGAAGGCAATAATGAAAAACGATATGGAATTACAGATAAGCAAAGTTTTGAAAGAGTGCACGAGAGAGAGGACAGTAGAAGTGATGGTATTGACATGAGGTGGAAAAATCAAATTCTGAGGGCTGACATAGAAAGAGAAAAGAAAGACATATCTGTGAAAGATAGGTTAAGTTTTGGTAACATCAAACGTCAGTGTGATTTTGAATTTAATGAAAATCGATCAAAGTGTGTTATTTCTAGTAAATCAATGAAAGTGAGACAAGATGCTGAAATTATTGAAAATAGAGGACGCCGAAATAACACTGATCACACTGAAAGCAGAGGGAGAATTGACATGGGAAGTAACAAAATGAGGGAAAGAAGGGATATCCAACCTAAAGAACCTAGACTTAGACAAGAGGTCCGTAGTGAAAGGAGAGTGAGAAGTGATGTAAAGCATGAAGTAAGGGAGCGGTCTAATGCTGAACATACTATGAGTAGAGACAGACGTGATGAACACAGTGAACTTAGAATGAAACGTGAACCTAGTGAAGCTACGCAAAGTTATAAGTCTGAAAGTGAATCAGATGATCATTGCGACTCTCATAGAAAAAGGCATGTTGATAGTGGTAGAAAGAGGAGGAAAAGAAGGAAGAAAAAGAGAGATGAAAGAAGTGATGATGGAAGAAAACATAAGCACAAAAAGAAGAAGAAGAAAAGAGGATCAGTGAGAGATTGAAATTGCTCACTGAATTTTTTCAGGTTAAAAAAATCAAGAAAAAAAAAAATGTGTAAATTAGATACACGTTAAGAATGTTACTTGTAAAAAACTTTGAAAAAAACAAAATTTCCTTTAATATATATGAATTTCATTATTTTCTTTCGGGGAAGTACAAATTTTTTCACGCATTTTAAAACACCAGTTTTTTTTTTTTTTACAGGCATAAAAAAATTCAGAAAAAATTTTATTTTGAGTACATTTCTTGCAGTTATAATTGTTTTTTAAATTATAAAAAATTTTAAATTTGTATTAATAAAAAATAAATTTTTAATACACTTTTGGATTTTTTTTCAGTTTCTTTTCACCCTTATTATATTCCTTAGAGAGGAATTTTTTAATAGACAATTTACCAAAAAATGTTGGCATGAAATATGACATGATTTAAGTGATAGGGAAAGAACTAGAGATTAAAAAATTTTTTTGGCACGACCACTTGGGAATGGCTAAATTTACACTTGGTGGAATTTATGGAGCCATATGAATACAAAATTTTACACAAGCGAGCTTTGACAAAGTGCAAACAGTATTAACTAATAAACAAGTGATGCACAAAAATTAAGAAAGAGGGAAAAATTTGGGTTAATAAAGACTGTCAAGTGATTTTAATGACGTAAGTGAGGGTAGGAAAACTTATGTTGGTGGTTGCTTCTAACACAAATTCTGAATATTAGATGAAGATACCAGGAAGGGTTACTGAAAAGTTTTGTACCAATAAAAAATTTGTAATGAAGATTTAATGTCTTTGGGAATAAATTGTATGAACTTAGTTTTTGGTAATTACTTTACCACATCTTTTTATTTCAGTATAAAAAGTGCGGAGTGAAACATCATGGCAATCGAATTAAACTTCCCTACTGGTGAACTATAATTTGGAAGGTGCAAAAACTGTAATTTTTTAAATAAAGAATTTGTAAGTTTGTATAAAAAGGTGTTTTGCGTCGCATTGGCAGTAAAAAAGTGAGAGTTCGCGTAGACTCAGACTACAAAAAAAAAAAAACATTGTGGGTTGGGGTGTGGTTTTTTTGCGGCATGCAGTTGTGGTGTTTTTTTGATATATTAAATAAAATTTTTTTTAAAACCAATTTCTCTTCAGGTGGGGAAACCCAAGAAAAGGAAAGCATTAACCATGCCATTTTGCATCTTTCCAAAAAGAGTGCAGGACTCATGACTAAATGACCCCCCAGTTGCATCATCTGACCCCCCCAAGTAAAGGCACTGAACTTCCTTTTTCCCAAAAATTTAAAGTCGAGAAACTATTTTTTAAAAATCTCTTGAACAGTGTTACTTTGCTCACCCCAAAGCACTTGCCCATACCTCGACTCCCTACCCCTAAAAATTTTTCCCCCTTTCCTTCATACGAACAAACTGACGCTCTTTCTACCCTTTGGTGTTTCCCTTTTTTCATCCCTTTTTTTTTTCATCTTATTGGGCGTCTCCCTGCCAAGGCAGGGTAACTTAAAGAAGGAAACATTCACATCATTCTCCTTGCATTGCCAGAAGGATGCTTACTTAAAATTTCGATTGCCCCTCCTTGAGTCGGGCACGTCTTTCCCCCTCCAGGACTCTCCAGCTAGCCAGTTTCCCCAAAAATTTATCAAAAAATTTGCTTTTTCCCACCCCCCAACATACATCCATTAAAACTACTGTTTCCATTCACGCGCATAACAGGGTTTGGTGGCAATTTAGGAGAAGATGTAAAAAAGGAAATTAAATTTAAATGAAACTTAAGGTAATAAAAGATTAAAAACAGATTTAAAGGAGGAACATAAAGGCAGGATGTGTCAAAAATTTTTGGGAAAGGGTTTTGTCTGCAGCGGTTTTACAAAAGATGGCTGGACCAAAAAATTGACAAGGGGGAAAAAGTGGGGGGGCATTGAACACTGTGGGGACGAAGAAGTTATCCAGGAGGCAAAAAAAAAAATGATGAGAATATAGGGTCCCAACACTCTTATATGGGTTAAATGATAGGGGTGAATGTTAGCTGAAGAAGAGATGTCATTCAGTTAAGGGGTTTTGGGGGTGTGTTTAGCAGAGAATTTCTATTTTGGAAAATGCAGGAGGCGGGGTTTCTGAAAATATTATCCAGAAGACTGAAGAGGGTTGTTGAGGTAGTTTTGACTTTTAAAGGGATGAGCAAAATTGGATGTCTGGGGGGTGTAAAAAATTTGTAATGGGGGGAAGGCAGGGTGGGGGAAATCAGAAAGGTTGGAAGGGGGGGTTAAAGAAGGTTTTGTGTTTAAAGGGGCTTAGAGATCCAACAGTTATGGGGATGGGGGCAAGTAAAAAGGACCCCTGTGTCCACGGGGAATACTTTCCAAGGGCCCTCCAGGGAAGTAAAAAATTTATATGAAAGTCCTGTACTCCATTTTTTTTTTTCTCTCTCTCAACCGTGGGTTTCTCCCCCAAGGCAGGGTGCCCAAAAAAAGAAAATATTTTTCACATTCAACACTTTCTCTCATCATACATAATCATGTCTTGCAGGGCGTTCAAAAACATTTTTGAAAGTCAACCTCCAAACTGCCAGTATCCCAAAGCCCTCCTTTTTAAAGGCAGTCATTGTATTCCCTTTTCCAGGATCAAGCCCGGGGCAAACCCCGTTTTCCCGAATCCCTTCTAAAATATTCCCCTTACACTCCAACATTTCGTCGGGTTTCCCAAAAACCTTTTGTCTCCATTCATTCCTATCAAACTTGTTGCCTGCTTGCGGGAAGTCAAAGCCCCTTGCCCAAAAAACCTCCTTAACTCACCCCCCCCCCAACCTTTTCGAGACAAACCCTACGCCCCCTTTCCTTCCCCTACAGATTTAACTTTCCCCCGGGCCCATTTACTTCGTTTATTCTCTCTAAATGACCTAACCACCTCAAAAAAACCCCCTCTTCACCCCCTTGACAAACTTTTAGAAACTCCATACCTCCTCCAATTTCCACATTTAAATTCCTACATAAATTTCCACCACCTTGCCATTAGACAGGACATCTCCACTGCCTCCTCGCTACAGCTTTTTCAATCCAAGCTTCAAAACCCCATATAAGGTGTTGGTACCACTATACTTTCGTCACCCCTTTCTTTGCCTCCACGGATAACGTTTTTTTGTCCCACAAAACCTAAATGCCCACTCCCCTTTTTTTCCTTCATCAATTCTGGGGGAAACCTCTCCTTCATAAACCCACCACTGCAAGTCAACCCCAAATTCTGAAAACATTCATACTTCCAACCCCCTTTTTCATGATACCCAATTTTTTCTTTATTAAATTGGTTGATACCCTCATCACCAAAAAACGCTTGTCTTTTCACTTAAAACTTTCTACCTTTAAAATCCTCCCAAACTCTCCCTAACCTTTGCAATTTTTCTTAGAATCTCCCATAAGCCGTTTCATCAGCAAAAAGAAAACTGTGCCAACCCCTTTTGTATTTGTTTCCCCAAATTTAACCCCACCCCTTTGCCCAACACCCTAGTTTTTGCTTTTTTTTACAACCCCCCCCCCCCTTTTTTTTTTAAACAGTCGGCCGTTCCCCCCGGGGGCGGGTGACCAAAAAAATAAAGAAAATCCACAAAAAAGAATGCTTTCATCCTTTTCAACACTTTCCCTCACACATAATCACTGTTTTTGCAGAATGCTCGAATAAAAACATTTTTAAAAAGATTACTATAAAGTACACATTTTCCTCCAAACTCCCAAATATCCCAAACCCTCCTTTAAAGTGCAGCTTTGTATTTCCCCCTTTTTCCAGGACTCAAGCCCAGCTTAAAAAAAAATAACCTTTTTCCTGAATCCCTTCACAAAAAAATTTCCCCCCCCACTCCAACAGCTCCAGGTCCCAAAACATTTTATCTCCATTCCCCTATCTAAAATCTCAGCATGCTTTTCGGAAGTCCAAGCCCCCCGCCCCCAAAACTTCCATTCGTTTCCTTCCAAAACCTTTTTTAGGACGACTCCTACCCCGCCTTCCTTCCCTACAGAATTATATGCTCTCCATTCATTCTACTTTTATCCTTCTCTCTAATGACCAAACCTACTCAACAAACCCCTCTTCAGCCTCTGACTTAAAACTTTATTTACTCCCACCTTCTCCTAATTTCCACACTCCGAGTTTTCTGCAAATATTTACACCACACTTTTCCCTTAGATAGGACCTCCACTGCCCCCAAATGCCTCCCCACTGCAGATTTACAACCCCTATAAGAGTGTTATTACTACTATACTTTAATATGCCCTTCTTTGCCTCCATAGATAACATTTTTTTTTTTCTCCCTATATACCCCAACGCCCACTCACCTTTTTTTCTTCACAATTTATGATTTAAACCCCACCTTTATAATCCATCCCTGACCCCGTCACCCAAATATCGAAAAATTCACTTTTTCATACCCGTCCCCAATTTGATATCCAATTTTTTTTTATCTAAAAAATTTTATACCCTCATCACCTTACTCTTTTTTATGTTCACTTTCTACTTTCTCCTTTACACACATCCCAAACTCGTCCACAACCTTTGCAATTTTTTTTTAGAATTTCCCCCAAACGAGTATCTCGCAAAAAGACTGTGTCATTTCCCCCCTTTTGTATTGATTCCCATAATTTAAAACCAAACCCCCCTCCCAAACCCCCTAGATTTACTTCTTTACAATCCCATCATAAATTATTTAAAAAACCATAGTGACAGTACACATCCCCTAAAACCACTTTTTTCCAGGGAAATAGTTCCCCTTTTTACACACCCTAACCGAGCCTCACATCCCCATAAAAAAATCTTACAAATTTTTAACTTTTCCACCTATTCCATATACGAAATCGCCCCATTTCTCCTCTATCCACTCTATATATGCCTTTTCTAATCCATAAAAGCAATAAAAAAATTCTTACCTTTACTAAAGCTGTTCACAATAGCTTCTGTAAACACTTTACCTACAATCCCCTACCCACTCTAAAACCTCCTTTTCATCCGCAAAACCTACATTCTGCCCTTACCCTAATTTTTAAAATAACCTTACCGGCCCTTTTCCCGTTTTTTTTTTTTTTTTTTTTAACAAGTCGGGCC